AGTTCTAGTGGGATAATGGGAATATTATCCTTTAAGGTAGCTGTTGCGGATTATCGGGAATATTATCCTTTTAGGTAGTTCTAGCGGGATAATGGGAATATTATCCTTTTAGATAGTTCTAGCGGGATAATGGGAATATTATCCTTTTAGGTAGTTCTAGCGGGATAATGGGAATATTATCGTTTTAGGTAGTTCTAGCGGGATAATGAGAATACTTTCCTTGAATTCCTTACAACAATCTCTACATAAGGAAACAGTTAATTTTATCATCATAATTATTAAAATATGGCTTATAAGCCTTGTAACTCCTCCATTTTTTATTCTACTTTTAAAGATGTTGCCAATAAGGACTTAAACACTACATACATTATCGGATATATAAAGTGAAACCCTTTATATTTCACTTTTAATGATGTTGCCAATAAGGACTTAAACACTACATACTTTATCGGATATATAAAGTGAAACCCTTTAAAGAATTTATCAAATGTCGACTTGACAATTTTTCAATGAGTTTTATACTATATTACGTAAATCTCAGTATTTGCGAAAATAAATAGATAGCTATGAATATGCGGGGACATTTTTAAAGAGTTCCATATAATCATTTAATTAAAAACTAAATATCTGCAACATTCCATTATCAGAAAGTGAAGAATACGACATTTGATGAATTCTTTTGATGTATTCGTTATTAAGGGTTTCACTGTATTTAAAAGAAATATTATTTATGATCAGAGAAAAATATTTAATTGAACGTTAGGTTAGTAAATTTTAGATTTATTCCCTTAACTAACAATTAGAAATTAACTTTTATTCAAGATATCGGACCCTGGATTAAAAGAACTACAAGGATTCCACTTTTTATATATTCATTAGATTTATTTTTACAAACATAATATATTTTTTTTAAGAAATTTCGAAATTAAAGTTTTTCTTTAACATTTTTTAAAATTTCACTCAAAAGTCAATAGGCTTGTAAATAAAAACCCCATCCTTCTATGATACTTTATTTAATTCTTATAGTTAGGATGTTTATAAACGATAAACGTCAAAACGGCTTGAACAATAAGGTCCAATTTTTGTTGTGGGACCTCACATGACCCCAGGAAAGGTCTATGGATGCTAAGAATAACAAAGAATTGTCTCCAAAAAATATTGATATTCGTAAAAAAAAATTAAGAATCCTTGAAAAGAAATTGTAAATCCGCAAAAATTGGTGTTATTGTTTGTTAGAAGAGGCTAAGAGATTGAGCAACAATAAAAATTATTAGAGTAATTAATGAAGAGCTTATTTGGCCTTTTTTTGAAGAGAAAAAAGTGTTCTTGTCTTGTAGGGAAGGAGCTCCCCATTGTTCATCCACATTCTTGTATTAGGTAAGATTTAAAGATTTATTTGATCAATTTAAACAAAAGTATGGCCCTACAGGATTAGCCATAAAATATGTGATTACAGCTAGGGAAAATTTGTTGATTTTTTTTTACTTTTCTGGCTACCCATTCATAGGGATGTTAACCTTTTCTTTTTTTTTTAAAAACGATCGTTTCGTTGTGAATACGACGACGAGAAATCGAAAACAAAACAATCGTTTTTAAAAACGATATTAGTTTTTTATAAATGATTATTTTTTAAACGATTGTTTTGAAAACGGTCGTTTTTAAAAATGATCGTTTTTGAAAACGGTCGTTTTTTTGAAACTCGTAGTTTCGTTAATGATCGTTAACGATGACCCTTAGTAAATGATCGTTAACGACGAGCCTTCATTAACGATTGGTAACGAAGAGAGGAAACCGACCTGAAGGGCACCTGTACCTGTGCATTTAGTAGTTTTTAAGAAAATATCAAGTTTAACTTCATGTAAGACGACATTCAATAAAGTTGCATGTCATTTTAAATGTGGGTCGTTTATTATAAAAACGTTTGTTTTTTTCCGAAAACAAATCATTTTTTAAAACGATAGAAAAACGATCTTTAACCATAATTTTCAAAAACGATTAACAACCCATGCAGCTCTATAGGTGTTAATTTCTTCCCGATATCATTACACATCTCATTTTAATACTATTTAATATCGTACCCTTGTATATCGGACATGCCATCTTTGCATGGAGGGACACTGTAAATTACACTTACAGTCATTTTAAGGTGTGCTCAAAAGTGCCCACACAAGGTTTAACTTGAATTTACTTAACTCTATAATAGAGGTTGGGGAGTCTGAATCTATTTATAGCCTGAAAAAGCTAGAAAAAGATCTTAGAGATGTTCATAGCCCAATTTTTCAAGGCCAGCTCAATGAACAAAATAATTACACAGATAAATTAAATAGTATTAGTGTAAAGGAGGGTTGAAAAAAATTCCAAAAACCGGGTAAGAAAAATGAAAAAAAAAATTTGTTTTAAACAAAGTTTGAAGTGTGTTTAAAAAACTAGTTTTAAGATCTGTAGCTTTAGTTAAAGATTTTAAAGACTGGCTTTTTTCCGCCCTGCAACACTACCCTTTAAATTTCTCTACATTTAAAGTAAAAAAATGTTCATAAATGAGAGTGCCAGGACAAAAAAAAACTATTGGGGTGATGGGACGCCAAAGCCACCCCACCCAGCCAGTTTAGAGTTAAAGAGACTGTAAGCTTAATTGTGACCTTCCATGTAAATCGGCAATGCCCTCTGTTAATGAAAGGCTACTTGAGTCCCTTTAATACTAATATAAAAAGAACTCAAATATCTTTTAATAGAACCCAAGCAATTTCCCCTCAACAAATCAGCTATATCATGTGCGTCAAACCTAATGATGTAAGTATTTTTCAATGAATTTCCCAAGCTTTTTAAAGGGAGTGTTTGCGAAAATGAAAGGGGGGTAAAGGCTTAATTCGATGCTTTTGATCGCAACTAATCTTACTTCTATCTATTGCATCTATAAGAAGAAAATTTTTAAAACGACTAACACCAAAGAACGCAGCTTCCATACACATTCGGAAAGATGCAACATTTAACTCGGATCGTAAACAAATCAATTTAATTCCAAACAAATCATTCAGATATTATAAACAGTAGTCATCGATTATTTTTCGAAGCATTCGTATACAATTAATATTTCATAATATTTTTGATTTTGTTTTTTAAAATAATTTTCGCTGGCGCTGGATTTTCGAACATTCCTGGAAAATATGAAAATGTCGTCTTCATTATCAACAATCCTCGAAACAAGAATAAATGTTTTTAAAGGTAACTCTCATATCATGAAAAATACAAAATATTATGAAATATCAACTATTTACGAATGCGTCGAAAAATAATCGATGACTATTGTTTGTAATATCTGAATGATTTGTTTGGAATCAAATTGATTTGTTTACGATCCGAGATTAATGTTGCATTTTTCCGAAGATTCTGAATTTGTATGGACACTACGTTCTTCGGTATTAGTCGTTTTTAACAATTTTCTCCTTATAGACGCAACAGAGAGAAGTAGGAATAGTAGCGATCAAAAGCGCTTTTTTATCGCATTATGCCTATACCCCCTTTCATTTTTCGCGAACACTCCCTTTAATTTCATAAAAGTTTGAATTATTACCTAATTTTTGCCGCATTTTCCAATATGAAATTTTCAAGAAAACGTCCACGACGTCAAGACATTAAAAAACTCTTTAAATGAAAAAATGTGTTGATATGATTTTTTTTACATTTTTTTTCATTTTACAATACCTCCAAACAGTGGTGATCAAAAAACTTGTAAATGATTACCGTTTTCGTTATTTCTGTTATTAGAGAATTGTAAATTGTAAATTGCTTTGATTGTTTATTTCTAAAAATATCACTTTTGGGTAATTTGGAGGATAAATGCTTGATCCACCAATTCAGTCATTCCTGCAGGGTATGACCATAATGGGATATGGAAGACCAAATAAATCAATCCGTAAATATAGGGTTGAGATCATTGCAGAACTTTGACATTTCCCGGCTTCTGATTGGCTGTTCGGTTTCTGAAATTGGCACATGATACAGGGTGTCCCAATAAACATGGGAATTCAGTGACGAATTCGATATCGTCTTTTTAAATAATTCTTTGATTTAGTATAGTGATACCTACTGAGAAAGCTGTAATCTCTAAGAGTTTCGTCTGCTATGTTCACATTTTGTTTGTTTATGTTTTTACTGCATACGGTTGTACTTAGTAAAAAAGAAAATTGCAGTATGCAAACAGCTAGTAAACTTTTCCTTCTTCACTGTTCATCTTGCGGAGACATTATAGACATATCTTTACAGTCTTTTACCCTTTTCATAAACTAAACTATAGCAGACATAATAATATTATGGCTTTTGAAATTATGTATTACAACGCTAATTCATAACAAAGACGACATCGAATTCGCCACTGAATTCCCATGTTTTTTGGGACACCCTGTAGGTTGCAGTTTAGACTATTTCTGGATATTAATGCAAAATCAAATTAGTCTTTGGAGCTGAAAACTTTAAAATGATGGATATCGAGATCAATGCTTGATCTCCTCTTTTTCTTAATCTCAAGATTAAATAATGCTTGTTTCTATAAAAATTAGATCAAGTATTGATCTTGATATTCACAATTCTAAAGTGTTCAGCTCAGGACACATTTTGAGAATTTTTATAAATAACTTTTATTTACAATAAACCACTGTATTTCATATATTTTTATATTTTCAGTATATTTCCAACCTGATTCTAAACGATGGTAAGTAAAGATCTTACTTTTTTTTCCATATTTCCCATCCATCTGGGAATTATCAAATTATGTGAAAAATTTACAATGTTATATTTCTACAAGGTAAGAGAAATTTTTTTTACAAAATATCGTTTAAATTACTAGTCATTAAAAGTCACAAAATTTCACGATAATACTGTCAAAAATGAAAAAAAACCTACAGGGGGGGGGCGCCAAACGTAACAAGCCAATTGTTATAAATTATCTTAACTCGTCGGAAAGAGGTTAATTCTTTGAATCTGCTTCTTTGTGTGTAGGCATCAAGGGAGCTCAGAACAGTCAGGTTCTTATAGAAAAGGGGGTATAGACTTACGGCGAAAAATAAGCGCTTTTGATTCCTACTAATATTACTTCTATCTCCTGCGTCTATAAGGAGAAAATTGTTAAAAACGACTTTAATTAAACAACGTAGCGTCCATACAAATTCAGAAAGATGCCACATTCAACGTGGATTGTAAAATAACAATTTAATTCCAAACAAATTATTCAGATATTACAAACAATAGTCATTGATTATTTTTCGATGCAATCGTATATATATATAGTTGATATTTCATAATATTTCTTATTTGTCTTGATCTGAGAGTTACTTTTGAAAACATTTATTCCTGTTTCAAGGATCTTTGATTATGAAGACGACATTTTTTCCAGGAATATTCGAAAATCCAGCGCCAGCAAAATATTATTTTAAAAAAAATCAAAAAGTCGTTTTTAAGTTTAAGTCGTGTTTAACAATTTTCTCCTTAGTAGATCTAACAGAATGAAAATATAATTATGTCCCCCACATGTGTGCGATAACCACTGCTCAAAAAAGCTGCCTAAATTATGCTTAAACAATAATTGTATCTATTGAAATGTAAAATATATAAAATGTTATTACTTTAGACATATTTTTTGAACGAAAATCTCGGAAATGTTAACCTCATAAAAAAAATTAGGGGGGGTCTCACATTTTTTTCTTATTTTAAAAATCTTCTCAATAACTATTAAGATCTAAACTGAATGAAAACATAAACAAGCAAAATATGCTTGAACTTGGTTTCTGGGTTCACAAGTTACGCAAAACTTAAAATTAGACAAAGTAATTTGTAAACCGATAACGGGTTAAACGGTTACTAAAGTCATTTACACAGACGATCTTGAAATTGTCAAGTTATTATTTTTTAGGTTGCAAATGTTTTAAGTTTGAAGATTGATATCAAAATATGACATATGCATTTTAAGATATAGGCATCGATGAATTAGTTTTATACAGATTGGTTCCTGAAGCATTAACCTTGTTTTTTTTTTTGCCAAATGATAATTAGTAAGCCTGTAAAAAAAGACGGCTTTAAATTTAAATCCCTTTAAATCAGCCCCACATTGCCAAGATTAGTGGAAACTAAATTATATTTTGCTTGACGGCAAATGAAAAATTGATTTTTTTCTGCACTAATCTGTGAGTCACTTTTATAAAGAAGATAATGTTGGAAAGTCACAATAGGAAATTATCAAATTTTCAATACTATGTTTTAAGAGTACTGTTTTAAATCGAACATGGCAATTTAAAAATTGAAAGGTAATTTTGATTTACGTCTGCAGTCCAGTGGATTACATTAAAAACATTCAGGTATATTTGAAAGACAAGAAGTTGAACTTATGATTTCTCTACTAGCGGACTATTCTAACTCAACATTTCTAGGAGAGTTATTTTCTGTTAAACAGGAGGAGACATTTTATTCCGATTTTTGCTTTTTTTGCTTAAACCAAATCACGAATGAAAGCCCAGATAAAAAAGTCATCTAAATAATTCAAGATGGAAATTAACCCTAGGATGTGTGAGGGGGGGGGGTGTTTTCCACTTCCCACTGTGTTTTTTTTCTGAATAACTGAAAGACGTTTTGCATTAGAATGCTGAAACTTCTGCACTTGTTTAACCCTATTACATGTTTCTACATCCATTTTTTAAGGGCTTTTCAAAAATGTATAATTTGTCATTTTTTGGACTAATTTTTTTTTGCAAACATTTTTACTATAAAACTGGATTTTGCGATAAAAAATTCAATTTTTGAAATTTGCAAATTTTTTTGCAGATTCTAAAAGTAGAGCACTAGAGCTTTCCAATGGTGTATCATTCGTCATATTTGGATATGAAACATTGGATTTAAAGGGGGGGGGGGTCAAATTGACCACCTGTCAAATTGACCACCCCCCCCCAGCACAGCCTGGTTTTCAAGTACCCCAGCAGGGATAGGGTTAACATAGTAGTTGTGAACAAATTTTGCTAAGCTAGGATAAAGGATGGTCAAGCGGTGGGTCGTTGTTACAAAAAAATCAGAAATGGTTGATAACTTTTTTATTAATTAAGCTACAGGACTAAAACTTATATATTTGAAAACACCTTTAAAAATGGATATATTAACATGTTAATATTTGTCAAAATTAACAATAATTTCTTTTGTAAAAATGATTGACATACTTTTAGAACTTTTTTAAAATCCTCCCTTACACCCTAATCATTAAAGGTAGAGTTCTATTTTTTTTAATGAAAAGGCCTTGCAAAGTTTGACCTGGGAAACGTATCACACTCCACTATCACAACCTTGGGGAAAATCATAGGGGGGGACCCCCCCCCCCATCTATATTAGACACAAGTAGCCCAATCAGAATAGGGTTAAAAATTCGTCACGAAACACTGATTTCAGAAATGTTAAAGTCGAAAAAATCCCTTCAAAATTTAAAAAGTTTACTTATAATTATTAGCAAACTAGTTTGTTCTTAAATTTTTAAAAAGTTTTAAAAATAAAACCGAACAAATTTAGCAGTTCAAGACACGTCTTTTGAAACATGTTTTTAAAAAATTGAAAAATCGACCTTTTCTTATGATTATTGTTTTTTTTAATCACTTTTATTTTGCTACTGAACAATTTTTTTGACATTTCTATTTAGAAATATCATTTCACCAGTTAATCAGAAAATAAAATCCAAACCTCCAGATCTTGGAGCCAATCTGGGAACTTTTAGTGTTGCAGCAGCTGCTTTTAAACACAGGTGTCAACATCAATGCAATAAAGAAAACTTTTTACTTAGGATTTGATATCTACAAAACTTTCAAAAAGAAGAAAGACTTAAAAATTTAAACACAATGAAGTTGTCAAATAACAGATATTCTTAGTTTACTTTTAAACTTGTAGTTTGATATATGCTTGCTACATACCAAAACAATATCAATAAAAAGTTGTCTTCAATGTATTGATATAATCGCCGACCCTTGTATAAAGACTAAACTATCAAGATATTTTTACTATTAATTAAAAACGAATGGGAAATGGGGATTGCATGGTTTCTTTAAAATTTATTTTTTGATAACTTCATCTTTGTAAACGTCATTTCTCCGGAAAATAATTTTCGCCACCTGCTATCTTTTCTGAATGATATTTAAATTTTTTTCCAATGTGAAAAAAATCTCTGGCTTCTCCTGACCGTAGCCCTCTGTTCCCCAAGGTCTATTTTCTACCCAAGCTGCAACTTAGAAAGCCTAATCTTACTCCAAATAATATTTTTCAGAACAAATATTGTCCAACAAAAATTATGCTTTTAGCGTATACTAGCAAAAATGACAATAGCAAAAAATAGAAAAAAATATTGTAATGATTTTATTCTAGAGTTGTTTCAGTTGACCCATTCATCATGAATCATGCATACTCCAGGTTTAGATCACACTTTTAGATGATTTATTTGGTGTACTGTCATTTTTAGCCTGGCATAGTTTTTAGGAGTGCGCAGTTTTGGTACTGGCAAACTGCTAATTCTATTTCGATTCCTTTGCTTCAATTATTTTTTATTCTAGACAAAATATAAACATAAACATTCATATTTTATTCATAAACAAATTGTTTCATGCTTTTATGCAATCATCAGTATGAATATATTTTCTATAGCGCAAATATTTAGAATAAAAAATATCTGAATTGCCCGGCGTTGCTCGTGAAATTGTTTAAAATCAAATGTTGATTTTTGAGAAAATCTATTTTTAAAGAAAAAAAAATCTATTTTCCAAGGAAAAAAATTCAGTTTTTAAATAAAAAAATTTAATTTTTAAAGAAAAAATTTTAAAATTTCAAAATAAAAACGGTCAGCTAGATTTGGTGTTGAGCTGAGAGTGCAGTATTGTAGAGAAAGTTTTAGAAACCACAACCCACTGGACAGCAGCTGTGCTGCACATACACCACAATCTGCTTGGCAGCTGTCTCACAAAACAACCCACTGGGCAGCTGTGCTACACATACACCACAATCTGCTTGGCAGCTGTCTCACACCACAACCCACTGGGCAGCTGTGCTACACATACACCACAATCTTCTTGGCAGCTGTCTCACACCATAACCCACTGGGCAGCAGCTGTCTCACACCACAACCCACTGGACAGCAGCTGTCTCACACCACAACCCACTGGACAGCAGCTGTGCTACACATACACCACAATCTGCTTGGCAGCTGTCTCACACCACAACCCACTGGGCAGCTGTGCTACACATACACCACAATCTGCTTGGCAGCTGTCTCACACCACAACCAGCTGGGCAGCCGTGTTGCCTACAAACTGACTGAGTCTCAAATCATTTAGAAAAGATTTCTCTACAATACTACTTTTCACCTCAACTGCCATGTCAACATGTCAAACCAGACACATTAAGGTTGAGTACTTTGCTCCAGGGATCTGAGGATTATGTCAGATATATTGTAAACACTGTCAGGTAAATAAAAAAAATGTGGTTTATTTATCTCGAAAATTTTTTTCTCTTCCCCCCCCCTTTTTGGAAATTGTTTTCTTTCCCCCCAAAAAAGTTATATGTGGTTGCTTTTTTCAAGGTTTTATATGTTGAATTGGGGGAAAATCATTGATTTTTCTAGTTCACTGTTAAAAGTCGCTGAAAATAATTCAAAAATATCCTTGTGTATAAAACACTAAATGAAATGAAGATTTGATTTAGTAATGGAACAGAAGTGTTATACCCCTGGTACAGGACTGCTGGAAACGAAGGTAAAACATTTTTACTTTAAATCACATAAATTGTACATAGCTACTTGGTTGTACAATGTACATAGGTACATAGGTTGTACATTTAGGGTGAATGATTTTTGACAAATTTGAGAGGAATCAATTTCAAGCAGTAAATGCTAATGTATTTTTTAATTCTAAGAAACATTTACAAAAAGCCATTTTTCGCTAAAATCCATATTGACCATCGAAAATGGCCTTTTGAGATAAACAAATATGTCGATTTAGGCGTCAAAAGATCCACCTTTCAAAGCCATATTCCACTGTAATGCCCCTAGATGACATGTTTTTGATATTTTTAACAAACCGTTTGCTGCCTTGAATTTGGCTTTTCAAGACGGATCTTTTGATATACATATCGACATATTTTGAAAAAAAGATTTTACAGAAAAATTAAAGGGTTTAAATGCATGTTAATAGCCCAATTTTTGAAGGCCAGCTCATTGAAAAAAAATTAAATTGATAACTTTAATAGTCTGGGTGCTAGGGAGGATTGAAAAAAATGCCAAAAAAAGAGTCAGAAAAATGAAAACATATTTTGTTTTGTTTTAAACAAATATCAAAGTGTGACACATGTTTCTACATCCATTTTTTAAGGGCTTTTCAAAATATAGTTTATAGTTTGGGAGAATTTTTATCCCGCAGTTTTACTTGCAATTTCATGATCTTGGGTAAAAAAAGTTTCTTATTTGTTCTAAGCATAGATAAATAAATAAACATAGATAGGTTATGTACACAAAATCACTAAGAATTCTACAGTCCGCGAACTCATACTTCTAGGGGTCAAAGTGTACTTCAATGATAAGCGGGGTGGTTTGGTGTTTTAATGGATTTCATGATAGAGTGTAAAATAACTCCGGGAATGGAACTATTTGAACAACAATATTTCACTGAGCATTATATCATCTTGGCGAGAACTGAAGAAGGACATGAGAAGGACTAAACTAACTTAAATTTCTCTCTACAGAACTCATGTTCACCACAAGTACTCAATGACATAAGAACAGCCAATGTTCACAACCGACCTAGTTAATCTATTTAATAGGAATATCTTTAAAACATCTCTGTACATTTATATCTTTCAAGATGAAAAATGACGTCTTATGTGCAATCTATCTTTATCTATGGTTCCGAGGCAAATAAGTAACATTTAATGTCTGGCTCATTTCATATTTTGCAGATTTTCATAAAAGAGATTCGCACATTTTTAAAAATCAGATTGAATTGAATAAACTTATATATCCAACCACCTTGTGTTATCATTTGGGACAATTTGTTATTTTGCTGGGATTTTTACTTTTTTGGTTTGTTTGAGGTTTAAATTTAAGTTGTTTAAATTCTGATAACACAAGGCAGTTGGAACTGTCATTGAAAATTAAAGGGCTATTTTAGATTTTTTTTTTCAAAGACTGGACTCTTTAAAAAACCCTGTACCTAACCCTATGCATTAAAAAAAACATTTTTTACAAGAAATCCTTTAAATTTCTTTTTATCAAAAGTCACAAAATTTCACAATGATAGTGTTAAAAATGAGAGTGCTAGGTTTAGGGTGAAATCTTTACATTAAACTATTTCTTTGAAGACCAATAATGTTAAAAAGAAAAACCGCAATAAAGTAATAAATTATTTTATGAAGTTTATTAAACTTTTCATCGGTCTCTGCATGAAATTGCATGACAAAACAATTTATTTATTAAAAACATTTAGTTGATTTAATTTTGTTTTTTACTTAGGTGCTACATCCTTTATTACTTATGAGACAGCTGTTAAAAAACCGGTAATTTATGATAAGTATTAACTAGGGTTTCCAGCGAAAAAGGGGAATCTTTTCTAAAAATTTTGCATTTTCCTGAAATTTTTTTTCTCAAAAATCTTTTTTTACGAAAATCTTGCATTCCATTTGAACAAAAAATGCAAAATTTTGTAACATTTTTAATTTTTGCGAAATTTTTTATTTTTTTCCACAAAATTCTAAATCATATTTCAGCTGCATTTTGCCTAGTCACAATTTGCCTAGTCACATTTTGCCTAGTTACAATTTGCCTAGTCACATTTTGCCTAGGTAACAGTTTGTCTAGGTAACATTTTTTCTAGGGTAACATTTTGCCTAGGGTATCATTTTGCCTAGAGTAACAAAAGAGCAAATTTTTTGCCTAGTCAATAATTTTTTCACAAAGAAATTTTCAACAATCCTAGAATTTTTTTCAAAAATCCACAAATTTTTAATCAAAAACCTCGCAAATTTTTGAAAATCATTCAGTTTCCTATAAATCAATCAGATCGAGAGACACACTGAAAATGGCTCCCATGACAACTGGAGGGCTTACCATGCGGGGTAAGCCCAACTACAGGGATAAGAATAACTTCTCCTATGTTTTCAATGGGGAGAGGGCAGAGACCAAGTTGGCAATGTTCCCAACCCATGGGCATACCAACAAGCTGCTGAAGACTAAAGCTAAAGAAGGCTAAAGACCACAGAAAAGGCTGTAATTGAGAAATATGCCGATTTTAAAGAAGCCCTACCTTTCAATGTGATTCAGGAGATCAGCCAATCTATGCTGATATCTGACTTCCCAGGCCAGATAAGCAGTGCCTCTTCAAAGTCATCTATCAAGATGAACTCTGGAGACAGAAGCAGATAAACAACCCAAGGCCTGAGCTACTGAAGTCCTTTCAGGAGTATATGAACATTGAACTTCCTACTAAGTTTACTCAGGCAGCCCACGGGGGTGAGTTCATGTTTCAAAAGATTGGGTTGAGAGGACACAGCCTTTGGTGAGGTTCATGAGCAGATGGTCTGCCAATATTCTGAAAACACACCTTGTGTGGTTGTTTGATGGAACTTTTAAGTCTGCTCCTCTCCCATTCAGCCATTTCAAACTTAATTGAAAAATTGTTTTAATTATCAGAATGAAGTATGTATAGTCTTTTATTCAGGTCTACATTGGGATGGCAGCATCTTAGGTTAGTGGCCAGGGTATACCATGTGTCTATTGCCTTCTCCCAAACAAATAGAAGATGATATACCTACAGCTGTTCAGCAAGATTAAGGAGAGGGTAGGAGCACCTAACAGGCTAACTACAATTATGACCGACTTTGAACTGGCTGTGCTCAAGGCATGTGATATTTTCTTTCCAGATGTTCAGCACAAGGGTTGTAGATTTTACTATAATGCAGCTGCCTGGAAAAACCTGGGTGATCACAAGCTTCTAAGTCTATTTCACCAGAGTCCACATTTCCAAGAGCTTATCTATAGCTTGTACAGCCTTTGCTATCTACCTTTAGACTGGGTTAATGAGTACTACCATGAGGTTATAAAAAATCTGGTAGATGATGGTGAACAGTAAGATGAAGAATGGGAAGACTATCATGTTAAGATTAATGCCTTTGGTTCCTATTACAGGATGACATGGATTGTAAAGAGAGGAGGCAGAGGTGCACTTTTCAAGGATGAGCTGTGAAACCAGCACACCACTGTCCTCGAGGGGGGAATTGAAACCAACAACATGGTGGAGTCATTTAACAGAACCTGGAATAGTTTGTCTGGCCACAGCCCGAATGTATTTGCTATCCAAGAGCTAATTGTCAAACAGGATGCCGAGGCTAGGAGGGCTTATCTCTCCAATGCAGTTGGCCTGGACAAATTCAAGTCAAAAGGAGAGATGAAAGAACTCCAGACAGATAGTGGAATTTGTTGTAGAAGCTTTCCAAACCATGTCCAGTGCTGAATATGTTCAAACCTTTGCACATGACCAGCGGAAGGTAAATAATGATAAATAAAGATATAACCTGTATGTAGGGTTGTTAATCGTTTTTGAAAACGATCGTTAAACGATCGTTAAACGATCGTTAAACGATCGTTTTTTGTTTCGTTTTCAAAATCGATCGTTTCGTTTTCGGAAAAAACGATCGTTTTTAAAAACGACCCACTCGTTTTGAACTTTTAGAAAACGAATAGCAATCATTTTTGAAAACGATTGTTTTTATTAAAACGATTTGCGACCGTTTTTTATACGATTGTTTTTAAAAAAACGATCGTTTTTGAAAATTTTTTTAATTGAAAATTATATTAACGATCGCTAACGAAGGGTCGTCGTTAACGATCGTTAACGAAATTTTTAAAAACGAGCGTTTTGAAAACGATCGTTTTAAAAACGACCATTTAAAAAAAACGAACTTTTTAAAAAAACGATCGTTTCGTTTTCGATTTTTTGTTGTCGTTTTCATAACGAAACGATCGTTTTTCTGAAAAATGAAAACGTTAACATCCCTACCTGTATGTATACCTATGTACACTCCATGATGATGTAAACTGTATTTAAAAAATATATATATCTGATACATAACCATATTTCATCTTTTGTAGAGTAATAGGTATGTTAAAATTGCTGGACAAGATACAACTGGTTTAGCTTGAAAAAAATTTCAAGTTTTGACAAAATTTGTTTTAAAAAAAAGCAATAGGCAAAAAACATGCTCTTGTGTTACCTAGGCAAAATGTTACTAGGCAAAAGTGAACTAGGCAATTGTGACTAGGCAAATGTGACCAGGCAAATTGTGACTAGGCAAAATGTAGCTGAGCCCATCCTGTATGTTATTCTCTTCCCCCTTGGTTTCCATCTACACTGACACTAAGTTTTACATGAAAGTACGACTACAGTCCCTTTTAGGTCTATTGGTATAAATCAACCAATCTACTCTTCAATAAGGATCCCTTACTGAGTTTTAATTCTACGAGGCGGACTATAACTCTTGACCTAATGCTCATAATGAACAGATCAGCAAGTGTAGAAAGAATTATTACCCTGGGATAAACAGTAAACAAATACCTTAATGTTACCATAAAGCATCCAAACTATCTTGTCAAAAAGGTTTTATTCTGAAAAATATGCTTGATCAGTATCATATGCATTTAAGCAGCAACACCAGCCAAAAATAAAACAACAAGCTAGTATAAATGGTACTCACCCCGATTCGGTGTAAACTGAGGTGTTCAACTTATGCAATGCTAGGAGCTTCTCCCATATTTACTAAATATCCAGTTTTGAATCAAATATACAGCCACTATTTACTTGGCTAAGCCAGGGCCTACACAAACTCTCACAGGAAATCTTCAGGGGCTGCATTCCAATAGATTGTGACTATCTAGTTGTGAAACAGTCAGAAACAGTTTTAATCAATATATATTGGCTAAAACAATTGGAAATAAAGATAGATTGATGGCAAAATTTGGTTTTGATGAACCCTGAAACCCTTTTATTTCAAATTTATCCCTGTAGGGTATAATCACTGTGGGATATCAAAGAGGAATTAGATAAATCTGCATAAATGTAGATCAATGCTTGATCCTTATATTCGAAATACTTAATTTAGTCTACTGAGGTTGGCAGCCCAGTTTATCCAGTGCAGCTTCAGGTACAATCTTAAATCTCTTTTTATAATTTTAAATTATAATAATTTATCTACAAATTTATGTGGTCATTTTTCTAAAACCTTCGTTTTGTTCAAAACTAAACCTGCAATTTTAAATGTCATTTGAAGAGGTACCCTAGAAACCTTAATCTGATAAATAATGTGAAAGATAACGTCGTTTTTCTAGCTTAAGTAGTGTTTAATTCTTTTAATTTCTCCATCGATTCAGAAGCAAGAAATTCCCAAGTTACTTTTGTAAAGATTTTAAAAACATGGATATCTATAGTTTATACTTGATCAGGAAAAAAGGTACCAATGTGATTCTGAAATGTCACTATATTGATGGAGGGTCACTGGAAAGAATTCTGTGTATTTAGGACATTCTTGATACTATTCCTACAGATACAGTAATCATCAAAATAGATATTGAAGGACATGAATGTAGGGTGAGATGGTTTTTAACTAAAAAAAATAAAAATAATTTTATTTTTTAAGGAGTAAAAAAGTGGTTTGTTTTAGTCCTTCCTAATTTATTTAAAAAATTTGTTTTCACTTCATTAAACATGTTTTCGTTGTTCATTACACAGATTAAAACCAATTCAATATTTAGCAGATTTTTGTTTATTTGGTGAATTTTAACAAATTTCGAACCAACAAAAGTCAAACAAGTTAATGCATACAAAATGACAAATATGAATGCATATTTGAGACCAGAGATAGACCCATTTGGCTTATTTTCATTTCATTCGTTCATTGATTGGGAAAGACCCATTTGTTCATTTCTTTTTTAAAAATTATTCAAAATAGTTCATTTTGTTCTTTTGCAAAATTATCTTTCATTTTCCATCTATTTTGTTCCTTTTCTCACTGAATGATCCTTCAGTGAAATTGTTTGTTCAGTAAAGAATTATAGTTTTTTAAGTACATTCAAATGGTTTTAATTTTTTTGTTTTAAAAAACAATGTTTTATTTCATTTTTAGAACAATCGAATGTGTTCATTAATTGTTTTCTGAATGACACCATAGTTCACAAAAAAATTCATTTGTTCACAAGAATGATGCCAATCTTTAAATGAGAAATGAGATTGAAAAACAAACTGTATCCAGGAGAAAATATAAATAAGTTTGATCCATTTCAGGCTTTAGTTCCATACTTGACAAAGAAAAACAAGGAAATCCATACAAACAAATGCTTTTGATAAATTTATAAATTTATAGCAAAACTTGCTTTTAAATTGTTAATGATCATCTAAAATGGTCCCAATATTTCATCACTAACAAATCAAAGAATTTCCCAAAATTAAATTCAAAGAGGCTTTTCAAAAATAAGTATTAGCTAGGACATTATAAACAGCTACCTACATTGGGTCAGAGTGCACTTTTCTATTATTTTATTAAATAGCTATTTCAATTATCATAAAATTGATTTAATATCAAGAGATTACTTTTGTAAGAATCTAAATATTTGTATAGTGATTCCTATTAATACCATTTAAAAGTGTTATGAAATAAAGGAAATCTAAAGCCAAAGACCTAGTGTGAGTAAATCTACAGAGTATATAACAGAAGTGTACTTTTAGTGGTAATCCACCTGTTCTGAAGCTAGTAACAAAAACCAGTAACAAGTAAGACATTTTGTAATATCTCTGTATATATTAATAGAAGCTGGTTGTATTTTTGAATGTAGACTCATATAATTGCCTAGGAGCAGGATATGAAGTCCGATTGTCAAAATCTCTTTTTGAAGACTTGGAACCTCTGAAAAGTGACCTCCATCGGCTCTGATTTTTTTATCTCCAGCCTCGTTGGACATAAATAGCCCAATTTTTAAATATATACATTCCCAGTGACCCCTAGAATACATTAAAATTTTTTTTAAATTTTGATGTCAAAACTGGGTGTCAAACATTGTGTATTTTTGATTTTCTTAAAATGCAAAAAGTGACAAGTTTTGATCAAAAATATAGGAGCCAAAGAAAAGAGAAAATATTATTATTATCTAACACATTGATGAAAAAAATTCCAAAAATAATTTTTTTGGGGGGTGGTAAATTTTTTTTGGACAAAGCACTCTTTTTTTGGGATTTTCTTCCCTAATATAGATAGTGGCCTTTTCTGTCATATTGTCATATTGTTGATATCTCTTTCTGGAGTCATGGAACCTAGGGTTTCCATTTTTCCGGAAAAAATTTTCCATTTTGGAAATGAAATGATCCGGAAATTTGTTGCGTAAACCGGAATTCCGGGATAATTCCGGTATAAATGGAAACCATAAATTTTCCGGTTTACGTGACGTAAACCGGAAAAATTTTCGTTTTACGGAATGGAAACCGTAAAATTTCCAGTTTCCATTTCGTAAACCAGAAAAATTTCCGGTTTCCATTCCGTAAACTGGAAATTTTTACGGTTTACATAACGTAAACTGGAAAATTTCCATTCCGTAAACCGGAACTTAAAGAATTTTTCTTATTTTAATTAAATTCATATTTATTATCAGTTACATTTCACACTATAGTAACTTTGAATATTGATTATTGAGTATAACTTTTTCTACCGTCCGGCATCCATCCATATATTGTTAGTGTTACTAACTGGTGTTGTATTTACATATGTAAGACTTTAATGTAATTCTGGTATCAAATGTTCCGGAAATCGGAAATTTCCGGAACGATTTTCCGGAAAATTTCCTGAACGATATTCCGGAACGATCCGTAATTCCGGAACAACGTTCCGGAAATTTCCATTTTACGGAAAAAAAATCGTTCCGGAAATCGTTCAGGAATTCCGGTTTTCCGGAACCTTTTCCATAATGGAAATGGAAAAAATTTCCGGATCATTTCCGTACGTAAACCGTAACCCGGAATTCCGGTGGAAACCCTAATGGAACCTCTGAAAAGTGACCTTCGTAGGCTCTGATTTTTTATCTCCGACCTCGTTGGACGTAAATAACCCAATTTTTTAAATACATACTCACAATGAACCCTAGAAAGCACAAAAAGTTTTTGATGTCAAAACAGAGTATCAAAAATTGCGTTTTTAAAAAATTTTTAAAATGCAAAAATTCTGACAAGTTCTGATCAAAAATATAGGAGCCAAAGAAAAGAGAAAATTTTATTTAATTATTATGTAAAACATTGATAAAAAAATTCCAATTGGAGGGGGGGCTACAGGGTGTTAAATTTTATTTTACAAATCACTCTTTTTTTGGCAGAATACACCTGCCTTGGCCCAAGTTGTTGTCTCCGGCCTTGCTGTCTAACAATATGTTTTAAATCTTTACTCCAAATGATCTTAAAAACAAAAATAAGAAACAATTAATTGTTATGAATATAAATTTTTTTTTATATCTCAAGTAATAGAGTAATACTGGTCTGGAATTTATTGCCGACGGAACTAAAACTCTGTTCCATCCAGAACCAAACCAAAATCTGCCTTATGGACTCTGATGTCTTCTGCATATCACTCCTCAAGTATTCCAAGTAAATAAGGGACTAGGTCTCGCCACCCATAAGAATGACAAGTTGGTGTTGATCAGGAGTCTCATGTCCTGGATCCAGCAAGTTAACTTTTCTATGTCTAGATGTTATGCCACCTGGATTGTGGACTCAGCCAGGGCTATCCCTTAAACTAAAACATGGTAATCAATCATAGGCTTTAGGAAAAAGAAGTTTGTAATTCATTACCAGCCGCCACATGTGTATCTGGATAAACCTTTCTTGCTTCCGACATGCAGGCAGTTGACCCTGCACTTCTCGGACCACAGCAAAACATTAAAATCCTCTTTAGGGCAGCAGAGGTGTTATTGAGGGGACTAAACGCAGGGCCATCCAATGACCCCCAAGATAAGCAATCACCACAGTCCTAGAGACTCCATCCCCTCCCATACAACTAGGTATGTCTTTTAAAAAATATATAGTTTTTTAAAAAGACTCAGAAAACTTTGAAAAGGGAAAATTGGTCTTGTACATTGTGCACTACACAGTACACAGTGCACAATGTGCTATTGGATTATTTAAAATTATAAGTTGAGCTGTGCATTTTGAGGGTCATTTAGAGTATATGTAAAAAATTTGAGCTATTTGTGTCCAATGAAGCCGGAGATAAAAAGTGAGCCTATGGAGGACATTTCCAAGTCTCGGTAAAGAGATATCGACAATCTGACTTTATATCCTGCTCCTAGGCAATAATATTTATAACATAAATTATTAAATTAGAACCAGTCACCATCTATATTGGGAGGAAAATGGAATAAAAGGGTAATTTGTTAAGAAAAAAACACCCTGTAGCCCCCTCAAAAAATTATTTTTTTGAAATTTTTTTCATCAATGTGTTAGATAATAATCAAATAATATTTTCTCTTTTCTTTGGCTCCTATATTTTTGATCAAAACTTTTCACTTTTTGCATTTAAAAAAAAAAAAACGCAATTTTTGACATCTTGATTTGACTTCAAAAACTTAAGTTTTTTTCTCTTTTTAGTGTATTCTAGGGTTCATTGAGAGTATAAATTAAAAAATTGGAGTATTTATGTCAAAAGGTCGGATATGAAAATCGGACCTGACAGAGGTCACTTTTCAGAGGTTCCAAGTCTCCAGAAAGAGAATTCGACTATCTGACTTCATATATTGCTTCTAGGCAATAATATAACATTAATTCTTTAATTAGAACCAGCCATCTGCATTTATATTTGGAAAGAAAAGTCCAAAAAAAAGCATGATTTGTCAAAAATAAAAAATTACTCTGTAGCCCCCCAAAAAATATTTTTTTCTTTTCTTTGGCTCATATAATTTTGATCAGAACTTGTCACTTTTTGCATTTTAAAAAAAAAAGCAATTTTTGACACCCTGTTTTGACATCAAAAACTTAAGGAATTTTTTTATTGTATTCTAGGGGTCATTGGGAGTATATGTTAAAAAAAGGGGCTATTTATGTTCAAGGCCAGAGATAAAAAATCGGAGCCGAAGGAGGTCCCTTTTTAGAGGTTCAAAGTCTCCGGAAAGAGATTTTGACAATCGGACTTCTTATTCTGCTCCAAGGCAATTATATATGAGTCTACATTAAAAAATACAACTGGAAGCTATCAATATTTACAGAGACATTACAAAATGTCTCACTTGTTACTGGTTCTTTTGGAGAAGGCTCCAATGTAAAAAAAAGAAAAAACTTGAAAAAATTTTAAAATATTTTTAGAAATATATTCACCCCTTATTTGCTCAAGAACGGAATGGGTTTTTTGAGAAATCCCGGCCGCGGACACTGTCAAAATGGCAGCAGCAGACATCAGCTGGGGTTTCCCATTACTTGAAGAATTGGCGCCGATGTAAAAAAATTTTGAAAAAAAATTTGAAAAATTCTGAAAAAAATGAGTATATTAAAGTATTTATGTACATTTATGTATATGGATTCTGTTTAGTTGAAGTATATCCCTTATATAATGATAGAATGTATATGGATTCTCTTTAGTCGAAGTATATCCCTTATATAATGATAGAATGTATATGATTCTGTTTAGTCGAAGTATATCCCTTTGTTGTTGGATAGGAACAAGATTCTCAATAATGAACAGATAGACAACAGAATAACCCTCAAATCAAAACCGATAATGCAGAAAACTCTTTATTTCCTAAAAAAATGAAATGAATAATAATGCATGAATTTGTTACAAAGTTTTATAATTTTACAATGAAAAGATTCTTACGATCTATTTAGGGATAAGAAGGTTAAACTGTCAGGGAGTCCTAAGACGTTTTTATGTATTAAAACTTCTAAAAAGAATGACAATTAATTGTTAACGAAATTCACTAATTCTTTATATGAAAATATTTTGATCACAATAATAAAAGTGTTTAGACTCCGTTACCGGAGGACAAAGAAAATGGGGCGAAAATTGTTTGGTTTTGTGTCTCGGAGAGGGGATTTTAAGTTAAAGACGACATTACATGGATGGGCGGGGGTGGGGGTCTTGTAGTTAATGGTTGACACCCTTATATAATGATAGAATGAATATGGATTCTGTTTAGACTAAGTATATCCCTTATATAATGATAGAATGGGTTTTTATCTCTCACAATACAGATGGATACTGTCCAGAAGTTGGTATTCTAGTTCAGGTGAACGAAATAAATCCAGAAAACATTAATTTTACACTTGCTCTCCGATTCCATCAGCGCCTGATCCAATCGTGGTTCAGTCATGTGGTTGGTGGTTCTTCTGAACCAATAGAAATTATATGGCGATTGGGGGTAGCATCTATCTTTCTACTGTTTTCATCAACCAATTAGAGATCAATCCTTAAACCAGCACTAAACAGTTCCATTTAGTTTTACTATAGTGAAAAATATTCGTTATTCCATTTCTAAATTTACTTTGCAATTAAAAATGAGCAAGAAGCAGTACAAATAACAAGAGGCACAACCAAATCTTCTTTTAGACATTGACATTTTAGACATTCCAAACAGCAATGGGATTTTTTTTTTTTTTTTAAACCAGAGCATTTAAAAGACATGATTTTCTTAGTTTTCAATGAATTTAATTTTGATACATGATTTATTTAATAATTACTTGTTTAGGCTTTTGTTGATTCTGGATACTATGCTGTAAATGTTTATGATTTGTCAAAAAGAGCTAAGTAAAGAAATTATATCTAATCAATTAGAAAATTACCATAGACACAGAGAAAATCAAGTAAATGAAACATCATTGTTATTGTAACTGAACAATGATTCCTGTAAACTGTAACTTGCAAATTTATGCTGCAAAGACAATTAAAAAAATTTTCAGAATGTACATACACGGTGTCCCACGAAACATGACAGTTGGTAAATAGTTATGAAAGTTGTCTTCCATATACTTTATTAGATATTAAAGGCTTTTTGCAGTTTATTAAGTTAAAAATATCTTTTTCCGAAATTTATTTTACTTTCAAGCCAATTTTACCATAACATGACTCCCATATAATATTTGTATTATTGTCTAATTGGTATCAAACAACTTAACAAAGTATGGAAGAAGACATTCTTAACTATTCACCAACTGTCATGTTTCGTGGGACACCCTGCAGGAAAACTCCTATCAATTCCTCATTGTTTGAGAATCCCTCAGTCGAAGGAGAGGTTAGTGACAACCCTCAGTCCAAGGAGAGATCCGTGAGAGCCCCTCAGTCCAGGGAGAGGTCCGTGGGAACCCCTTAGTCCAAGGAGAGTTCCGTGAGAACCCCTCAGTCCAAGGAGAGGTCTGTGGGAACCCCTTAGTCCAAGGAGAGTTCCGTGAGAACCTCTCAGTCCAAGGAGAGGTCCGTGGGAACCCCTTACTTCAAGGAGAGTTCCGTGAGAACCCTTCAGTCCAAGGAGAGGTCCGTGGGAACCCCTTAGTCCAAGGAGAGTTCCGTGAGAACCTCTAAGTCCAAGGAGAGGTCCGTGGGAACCCCTTAGTTCAAGGAGAGTTCTGTGATAACCCATCAGTCCAAGGAGAGTTCAATGAGAACCCCTCAGTCTAAGGAGAGGTCCGTGGGAACCACTTAGTCTTTAGAGAGTTCCGTGAGAACCCCTCAGTCCAAGGAGAGGTCTGTGGGAACCTCTTAGTCCAAGGAGAGTTCCGTGGGAACCCCTCAGTCCAAGGAAAGGTCCGTGGGAACCCCTTAGTCCAAGGAGAGGTCTGTGAGGTCACCTTAGTCCAAGGAGAGTTCAATGAGAACCCCTCAGTCCAAGGAGAGGTCCGTGAGAACACCTTAGTCCAAGGAGAGGTCTATGAGAACCCTTCAGTCCAAGGAGAGTTCAGTGAGAACCCCTCAGTCCAAGGAGAGGTCCGTGGGAACCCCTCAGTCCAAGGAGAGTTCTATCAAGACCATCTGTGTAATTCCTTGAAGTGGAAAAGTTACCTCTATTATAACCCTCCAGAATAAAAGGAAAACACAGTCCCTATCTATAGCTTCCTCCCCTATACCTCAACTAGATGGTGTAAATAGCTCCAAGCCTAAACCTGAACCAGACCTTGAACTGGAATCAGATTCTGAGCCTGAACCAGTCCAACCAAGTCCACACCAACACCACCACCAAACATTGAAAATCCTATTTTCGGATATTTGCAACTTGAGAACCACTGAAAAAATAGGAAACTATTATGCATGCTTCTCAGCACCAAATAGTTTGGTTTCACAGTGTTGCAAAGTGCTGCACTGGCATTAAAAACCGGAATTTTGTCTCACATATGATGATGTACACCTTATCAATGATGATTTTATGTATTATTAATATCACTTTAAAATGTTAAGTATTCTGAATAAAAATTTAAATCTTAAAATTCCTCATTGTTACAAAGATTATTTTCAGGGTTTAAGGATACAGTAATAAATTGCACTCATTCTAAAAATGGAGGGTTACTTAAAATTACGTCAAATTTCATATGGAAATAAGAACAGTAGCTTAGATGTTATTATTTTTAGTAACAGCGAAGAAAAATCTTGGAATAACATGCTCTGGGTTCATCAACATGCAGCAAAGCAGTTCTGATCAATATGGAAAACTTTAACATTTGTGTTTTTTGTGGTTGTTGTCATTTTTGTTATTCACTGTTTTTTTATATCTACATTTAAATGCTTTCTTTTATAATAATAGATTAATGTCATATGTATATTACCATATTCTAACTAAAGGCGCGGGATGGACAATATCACCATTACATTAAAAGGTTGTAAAGAAAAAGGGATTAGAAAATTTTAATTTGTAGCAGAGAATAAACTTCTCTGTATATCATAACAGATTAACGTAATATGTATATTACCATATTCTAACTAAAGACGGGATGGACAATATAACTATTACATCAAAAGGTTGTAAAGAAAAAGGGATTAGAAAATTTAAATGTGTAGCAGAGAATAAACTTCTCTGTATATCATAACAGATTAACGTTATATGTATATTACCATATTCTAACTAAAGGCGCGGGGTGGACAATATAACTATTACATTAAAAGGTTGTAAAGAAAAAGGGATTAGAAAATTTAAATTTGTAGCAGAGAATTAACTTCTCTGTATATCTAAGACCAAACTGAAAGTTATTTGAAGTGAATTACAGTAATCGTCGATTATATCAGTATATTATATCAGTATATATCAGTACAATACAGAAAGCTTTTTATAAATAATGCTTTGGTCCCTAACGAGCATTTTACAAGTGAACCAAAAGAAGCTTTTTCTAATTTAACCGTTTATGAGAAACAAAAATATTTTTTATTTTTTAATACAATGCTGTTAAAATTAATTCGAAATATAAGGAAGACGATTTTTCCGACTCAAATTGCCGTAGCCCTTTCTCTAGATGTTTGCGTACCCAAGATCTATTTCCTCCACGTAGTGCTCACATGTCAAACCCCGCTTCTTCTCCCCCCCCCCCTTCTACAGATACCAGCCCCGGCAGTCAGCTATAAACACTCAAGACATTCACAACTCCGTCTCAACCCTGGCTCCTTCATGATGATGATGCAGATACTCAGCGCAACGCACCTGTTGATCTGCCCCACCAACATGAAGCTCTACATCACCCCCCATGACTCCTTCAGGCTGATGATGCAGATNAAGAGGGCGGGGGGGGAGGCAATATTACGGTGGATTCTCATTTGAACTATTGTTCGTTTGAACTATTGTTCGTTTGAACTACTGACATGAAGTCATATCCTGTAGATCAAATCAACACATTATATTTCTCATTTGAACTATTTTTCCACCAATTCAGTTTTATAAATTCATGAAGTAGGGTCATACGTTTTAGATAGCAATTAAACAGAAATATTTTAAATTAACATAAAAATAATTCAAATTAACAAAAACATAGTTCAAATATACATAAAAATAGTTCGAATGAACATAAAAATAGTTTAAATGAACATCCTAATAGTACAAATGAACATCCTAATAGTTCAAATGAGCCTAAAAACAGTTCAAATGAAAAAATAGTTTAAATGACAAAAAAAATAGTTCAAATGAAAAAATGACAAAAAATTAGTTCAAATGAAAAAGAAATAGTTCGAATGAAATAGTTTAATAAACAAAACAAAAAGTTCTTCATTATAGAAAATTGTGGAAAAACATAAAAATATCCCTGCAAACATTTAGTTTCCGACAAACCGATGGCGAACATAAAAAGTCCAGAATTATTTACTGGCCAACTTCGCCATGGGTATAAATGGTAAAAATGTCTCCTATGGTAGTTTAAATAAACAAAAAAAAATTCAAATAAAATAGTTGAAAAACATATAAATAGTCCAAAAATCGTTCTCTAGGAAATTACCTAATTTATTTGCTCAAAAAACTATTTTTAACTTTTTAAATTTTTAACACTTACCTCAATCACAGTTAGCCAGTGGTGCATCTAGTACTTTTGAAAGGGGGGGGGGAGACGTAATGTTTTTTCAAGGTTTTGGGGTGGAGGGTAAACTGGGGAAGCTAGCCCCTTGTGTCGAAAATTTTATAAACATGAAAGCGCTGTTTTAAGGGTTTGAAGTCGAAAAAAATAGAAACTTATAATTGTTGCTGGTCTGGTTCTGTGCTCAATATAAAACAATTTTTGGGTCCGTCTTAGTAAACATTTTTTTTACCCTTCCCCCCCCCCCTCTAAT